TATTGGACTATTTGTTGATGGTGTAAAATTTGAGGAAAAATGTTTAGCAAATAATTCACATATGTTAAGTCCCGTGGACGCAGTAGCATTAATGACAATGACAGAAATAATAGCGAAATCCAATTCGTTTACGCACGGCTGTAGTAGTAAATAATATTTATTTACTCTCATTATTTGTAATGGTTCTACAGTTCATTATTAAATCGAGAAAACGGTGTTTTTTTTATAAATTCACAAGTTATAACTATAAATCTTTCGATTCTAACTTCTATAGGAATAAAAATCGAAAATCGATAAGATTCATGACTGATTTTACAAAACCTATCCCTACTAAATTTGAAATGCATAGTCAAACAAATTTAAATTACTTAGACACACTATAGTCATTGATGTCATGACTTGTACTTCCTTTCCTATATTAATGTCATTGTTCGAAGACGATTTATAAGTTCCCTCTAAGATATTAACCCAACCGTATGGGTTACAAGTATAGCCTTTTTCAACATTAAAAATTAAATAAATACAAGTCAGAAATAGAGACAGAAAAAGTGTGAGAGAGAGGTCTTAAAATACAGAGGGGAAGCTTCCTCCATCCATTCCCCTACCCGCCTGGTAAGGCCCATAACCCGAGCCCTCCTTACCCTGAATCCGCAAATAATTCGAAGCACGACAACGAAAACCAAAGAATATTAAATAATTTTAAGAATTCATACAATAGCTCAATAAAACAGTATGCGATGATAATCATTCTTAATTTCTATTATTTGTTCCGTCATCTATATCCGGAATCCATCTTGAGTGTAGCCTTCCGTTTTGTGTTTGCTAGTCAAGCGAGCCCCTCTCTTATGTTAGTGGCGCCACCTGGCGCCCGATGTGTCAACTTCCCCCTGAGGCGCTCAATCGTTCTCAGCTCAGGGCTCAAGTTGCTTTCGTTCGTCATTATAGCGTCGTTTTTCCTAGTGTTCAGACGTGTTAGCGACTAGTATATCGTAGTAACTTTTAGAACGTTAAAGTTATAAATAGTCTCAATTTTGCTTTTGCTTGCATCGGGTCGGCGAGTACACGACCTCACCCTCCTTAGAATTGGACCGGAGCACCTAATAGACGAAGGAGATTCTTTGATTTTGTGATCTGACTTTGGTTCAAAAACAAATACGGCTGAACATAGGCAGTCGGGCTGGCGTTTCGAGCCACATCCGGAATTAAATTTAAATCTTATATTGGATTCGTATATTTTTAAAAGTATCTGTGCAGCGACGTTGTGAAGGAATTTTTAACCTTAACAAGAGGAGTGTCTAAACTAGCTACGAGAACTTTGATTGGTGGATGGGTTAAGAATGTGTTGCGTGAGGCAGGTGTGGAGGCACCTCCAGGTTCCGTACGTTCAGCGGTCTCGTTTTATTAAATTGGATAGAGAATTACACTATGGACCAGATACTCTTTACTGGCAATTGGAAGCAAGATCATACATTTAGGACCTATTATCACAGGCAGAATAAAGACATGGAAAGGAAAACAACTTAAAAGTTTCCTTGTCAAAATATTTTAAATCGGTATAATAGATTTGATTATATTATACATTTGGATCACATTAAAATAGATTTATTTAATTACTACAATTAACACAATTTTTCCTTGTCACAAAATTTACTTTTACCTATGTGGGTTCTGCTAAACATCTGTATTAAGTAATTTTCACGTACCTTATCTAATATTACACATTATAGCATCAATATAAGTTTTGTACCAGGAGAAATCAAACATTTTACTCAAGATGGATTCCGGATATCGATGACGGAACAAATAATAGAGAGTTTTACCTACCAATAAAACTTACCTATTATTTTTCCTTGAGATATCCGGAATCCAGATAACTCCTACCTGGTACATACGCCGCATAATGACGAAAAAAAGCTACTTGAGCCCTGAGCTAGCGATTGAGCGCATCAGGGGGAAGTTAGCACATCGGGCGCCAGGTGGCGCCACTAACATAAGAGAGGGGCTCGCTTGACTAGCAAACACAAGGAAAACGAAAGGCTAGACTCAAGATGGATTCCGGATATCTCAAGGAAAAATAATAGGTAAGTTTTATTGGTAGGTAAAACACTCTATTATTCTTAAGAGAAACACTAAGTAAGACAATTAATGTTATCTCAATTCCTCCCCTTACTTTCTATGTAAAGAATAAAAGTTTTCTCCAAAAGCCCGTCACATATAGAAGAATATTTCCAAGTTATTATATATTACTAAGGTACAAGTACTTCGTTAAAAGGATTTTACCTATCAAAAGAAAAGAATTTCCTTAACATGTGGAAATATTAACTTACTGGTAACCCTAAATACTAGTAAGCGCCACCTTGTCAATGTCAAAAATCTAACAGTAGCAGTGTAAACTCAAAACAGTAGTTTCTCAATGTGTTAAAACTATTATTATTTATTCAAGGATGTGGAATAAATAAGTTGAGTTTAATTTTATTTATTTATATAGCATAAGGACAAGCAAAATGGGAAGTGATGACGAACGCAGTAGCCACCGCAGTAGAGAGGAGCACGGCGGCAGAAGCCGCGGCCGCGCGCGCAGTGGCAGCCGGGACAGACGGAAGCGCGACCGCAGCGGAGCGCGGCGGGGCGCCCCCGGCTCCGGGACCAGGGAGAGGTCGCATGCGCCACAAAATCGCCATAACGACTTTGACCGTGGTCGGAGTTCCATAAGAGATTGTAATGGTGGTGGGCTTGGTTCAGGTAAAATGTTCTATTTACTTGTAGCTGAATATTATAGTAATAGTAGTAGCAGTAAGTTATAGTATAGAAGTATTTCTAGTGCTGGAATTAGTCTTGGGCTTAATCGGAGATCTGCAAGTGCACACCATGCTAATACAATTGGGAAAACGTACTAATACACAATTTTAGTACCATTAGTACTTCAGATTTGTGAGAACACAATATCATGAATAGAATATAATGAGGGCTTTACTTCACATTACATTTTAAGCAGGGTCAAACATATGTTTCACTTTTGATTCTCATTACCTAAAGTGGATGCTTCAATCTGGCAAATATTCAATCAAATCAAACAATGATGAAGCGAACACAGATATTGTGTAGTACTGTACTAAAAGTGCCAAATCTGATTAACAAAAGCCGTTCTATAACCTTACTTTTAGTACAGTGCCAAGTAACATTACTTATTAGTACATCGTACATGTACTACCCAAGACTAGCTGGAATATATCCCAACACAAATTGTCAGTTTGTGGTTGGGGCTTATTAAATCTGGCTCATGGTATACAAATGTACATACTCGTAATATGACTGGAATCAGGATTCGGTATTTGTGTTTCCATCAAAGAATGATTAAAGTTCCACATGGTGAATATGCATTTGCTAAGCTAGCTCATACTATCTTTTGAGCACATTACTTGACATCGGGTGGTCAAGTATTACTTTAGTTTATAGTTGTTAACCAATTATTTATGTAAATATTTTATTTAATGTAATATAGTGTAAACACTTTTTAGTTATCCACGCCAGCAATTTATGTTTTTCAATAAGTGTTTTTTAAATAAAAAAGCCTACACATATGATAAACTTTAGGCTATACATTTTCACACTTTTAATCTTAGTGAGAGAATGATTTGAAAACTCTCATGAGAGAAAAGGACAAAAAGTACAAGCTGATGGCATAAAAGAACCAAGATTACTATGGCAACGGTAATTTGTATATAATGTCCAAGTCCTTTTGTCATTTGCAATAGAAAATTTCACAAATGTAACAAATTAAAGTGGTGTATATTTTCATGCAGATGTAGGCATATAAGTACATCATCTATCAATAATAAAACTAAACTAGAAGTTCTCTTTAGTATATGTAAGTAAAATAATACATTTGGTAATTAACTGTAGGGCTGGGTGGTGCGAGCGCGGGGCCGGGGGCGCGGGGCAGGTACAAGCCACAGGAGGAAGAGTTTCTGGACGCGCGGCGCGAGGAGCGGGAACACATCGGACAAGTCGGGGTGTCCTCTGTGTGGGGCAAGTCACCACTCAGACCAGAGTGAGTTCTTCTATTTTATAAAGAAGCAACTGAACAATTTAGTGCTAGTTTCATCGGTTGAATTGTAAGTGTGAGAGGCTCCACTAACAAAGGATGTTTTCGTAAGTTGAGGGATATAGTTATGTTGTTAATGGATGACACCACAAGTTTGTACTTACTATGAAATGACTACTGAATTGTAGCGGAGGTCATTTGTTTACAACAGTCTGGGCTGTTATACGAGTATAGTAATAATGTAACTCTGTATGTATTTATAGTATTGTCAATACATTTTGGCTTCTAACTTATTTTCCCCATTCTATTTCTGATAGTAGTTACTGATGACAATTAATTGACATTATACAGAAGGTTATGTTTTTCTTAGAGGTAGGTATGTAATCGGACATCTATATTCTATACCCCTAGAGGTAATAGACAGGCTAAGTCAAAAAGGAGCGTAAAGAAAGGGCCATGTTCGGTAACAATGCTTTCTTTACTTAGTCAAACCTATTTATTGTAACACAATAACCAGTTATAATGATTTGTTTATAATTCTGCTAATTTTATAGTTCTGATGAAGAGGCTTCACAGTCAAGACATACAGATAATAGTAAAGAAAAGAAAAAATCTAAAAAATCCAAGGACAAAGAGGACACAAAAACTAAACTAAAGAAACTGAAAAAGAAACTTAAAAAAGTGAAGAAGGCACGTAAGAAAGCAAAGAAGAAAAAGTCCAAGAGCTCCAGCAGCGATTCCTCCTCCAGCGACGACATCTGGGTGGAGAAGGGACGTGAGTTCACTTCACTTCTTCACTTGCTCACTCACTCATTTATTCGCTCACTCACTCACTCACTCGCACGCTCCCACGTTGTTATACGTTATTAGTATCAGTGAAGTGACTTAAATTTATGGCATATTAGCTTTCGCCCTCGACTCCATCCGCGGGGAATCAAAAAGCACTAACTTTTGAGGCTACTTAGCCTACGTGTTCTTCCTATACTATACGTGACTATACCCTACATCTATGCCAAATTTTATCGAGATCTGTTCAGCAGTTTAAGATTAAAATATGTTAAAAATTATAACAGCAAACGTTTAATTCGTTTCATCACACTGCTTCGATGACACATTTTTATAATTGTATTTACTGAGTAGCCTCATTACCATCATTCACAGAGGAGCACGAAGCAGAAAGTATTTCGAAATCGGGAGTAGCGAGTGCAGCTTCGCCGGAGGAGGCGCTGGGGCCGGCGGCGCGCGAGGCGGGGGGCGCGGCGGGCGCGGCGGGCGCGGGGGGCGCGCTGGGCCCGCGCGACTTCGGGCGCGCGCTGCTGCCGGGCGAAGGCGCCGCCATGGCCGCCTTCGTGGCGGAGGGCAAGCGCATCCCGCGCCGCGGCGAGATCGGCCTCACCTCGGACGAGATCGCCGCCTACGAGTCCGTCGGCTACGTGATGAGCGGCAGCAGGTGCGTGCGGGCGACGCTGCCCATGCGCTATCCTTGCGCTACCCATGCACTATTCATGCGCTTCCCATGCGCTACCCATGCGCTACATTGTGCAAAATTCAACTCCTTTTTTAGGCAGTTCATATAAAACCTCTCAGGCGATCTTTTGAGTATTGCACTGAGCAAATATCAAACATGCCATTGTTCATTCGAAACTTTAGTTGTTTTACATTTATTTTTAAATGAAAACAATTACGAATGTAAATTTTCACACGAGTTATTTGAATGAAATCGTTTGCAACATTACTTGATGTGATATATTGTATATAAAGTGTAGTCTCGGAAAACGCGATGCAAATTTCCATTTTCGGAATTAATTTGTTTTATGTTATAAGCCACATGAATACATAAAGTCCAGTTACTTTTTGTTACTCTACATAGACTTTACAATTTTATTATACATTAGCTGTTGCTCGCGACTTTGCCCGAGTGAAATTTAAAAAAAATAATGAAAAATACGGGCTATAAATTTTCTAAAAAAATCTTTAAATCGGTCCAGTAGTTTTTGAGTTTCAGTACATACAAAAATCCAAATCTTACCTCTTTATAATATTATATTTATTATAAATTATATAGATATTTTGTATGAAAAAGTTCCACATTCTTGCCCTTATATATTCAAATTTATTTCTATATAGACCTAAGTGTAAGGCAAATATTTTTTTTTAAGCTCTATTCTTATTAAACATGAGATCAATTTTAAAATAGTAATTGTATAAAAATCATAAATTACTGTGTTGATCATTATTTGGACGCACGGGCCAAAATTAAATAATTTCATATTTACTTGAAATATTCTACATCACTGAGCTCTTGAACTATCCCCTACATTTATAAATGTGTAAGTATGTTCGCAGGCACCGCCGCATGGAGGCCGTGCGCATCCGCAAGGAGAACCAGATCTACTCCGCCGACGAGAA